TATAAAATAACAACTTTATTATTGCCTCTAGGGCATATTTCCTTCAAGTTCAGGATTGTGGGCCTGTCGGGCCAGTGCCATCCATGATGAGGTGGTGCTCGTCCCGGCTCGTCACATAACGACCCGGAGTGCAAAGGGCGATGTGCCCAAGACCACGGAGTGCTTAGGATGTATACTGGCGGGGACCTTTCTATGGAGCCTAGGGAGGACTACGACATGTTGATCTTCCAAGGCCGGGCATGACCTAGGAAAGTGTGTTCGGCCAGAGTAGTCAAGCTTGTTGGGTAATCTGGTGCACCCCTGCAGGGAAGTTGTCTATTCGAATAGCCGTGTCCACGGTAACGGACGCACAAAGTTGTATCGAGATCTATTACACCTAGAAATGGATACTTGAGACATGAGATGGATATGATGGCTCCGGGATTTCTTTCTCGCAGGGAGTCGAGGAAGGATCTCTAGTCGTTAATGCTACAACATGCTTGTTAATCAATATGCTATTATGTACTCTTCTGAATGCTGCAAGATGCTTGAAGATGCTAGTCTTTGATAGGCTAGGCTTTCTCTTCTCCTCTTGCATTCTGCAGTTCGGTACACAGATACAGCCCATTCCTTTGATACGGATGCATACTTATAGTATAGATCTGTTATCAGTCTTGCCAGTACTTTGGATGAGTACTCACGGTTGCTTTGCTATCTCATTTTCCCCTATACCCGGTTGTTGCGATCAGATGGTGGATCCCAGGAGCCAGATGCCACCGCAGATGGCTACTACTGCCCCGACGGAGCCTACTACTACATTGATACTGCCGACAACTAGGAGTAGTTAGGAGGTCCCAGGCAGGAGGCCTTGCCTTTTCGATCGTTGTTGTTTTTTTGCTGGCCTTCTTAAGGCAGTCATGTTTAACTTATGTCTGAACTCAGATATTGTTGCTTCCGCTGACTCTTGTGCTTTCGAGCTTTTCTATTCAAGCCCTCGAGGCCCCTGACTTGTAATATGAATCGTATTATTTTAATTTATGTCTAGAGTTGTGTTGTGATATCTTCTCATGAGTCCATGGTCTTAATCGTACGCATTTGCGTGTGATTAGTATACTATTGGATCGGGGGGCATCACAAGTATTTTCACAGAAATGTCATAAAATATATGGATACATTTTTTGTGAGAAAAAAATATGTCATTACCTGAACAGTGTTCCAGTGTTACAATAAGACCAGAGCGGATTGATATGATTAATAAAAATATTAATTTTATCAGTTTTATATACTCCAACAATGAAGAAACAATTAAAAATACATCAAGCTTTTTTTCTTTCTTTTCTTAGCATAGACAAGAAGGTTGTTTCACAAGAGAGAGAAAGTGAGAGAAGAAGAAAACACGTTCTCCTTTTGCTGTCAGGCCATTGTCATCACTACTCACACCAAACAGAACAAGCGGCCCGAGTCCACTTGAGGCCAGAAGCCGGCCAAACGGAGCAAGGCGCCCGCCCATTAGCCGCTCCACTCAAAAAGCAAATTCAAATGCCGCTACTAAAAGCGTGAAATCACTAATTAAGGGTACCCCTTGCAAGGTCAATTCCACCTTCTCTGGTGCTGACAAATGGCGCACTACATGTGTGCCACTTTGTCGCAACCTGAGAGTTTTCATTTTTTTCATAGATTCGTTTTATTATTTGTTGATTATGCAACTTTTATTGTTGCTATGTATATCCCACCTAAGTTTACTTATCAATTAAAGAGAACTTTTTTCCTTTGATTTGAGGCATTACTTTTGAGATGATCCACATTTATATAGAAAAGGAGTAGATGATATTGTTAAGCGTTGTATACCTCAACATAAGGAGCAAGAGATACTAAGGGAGTGTCACTCTAGTACTTATGGGAGGCACCAGGCTGGAGATAGAAAAATGCATACAAGGTCTTACAATCTAGTTTTTATTGTTCAACTCTTTTTAAAAATGCTCGTAAGTCTATTCTCTCTTGTGATACATGTCAAAGAATTGATAATATTAGTAGACATCAGTAAATGTCAATGAACTATTTTCTTGTTATTGAACATTTTGATGCCTGAGCTTTAATTATATGGAACATTTTCCAACCTCACATGGTTACACTCATATTCTAGTTGTTGTTGATTATGTCCCTAAGTGGGCAGAAGACATTTCAACTAAAAGTTTTGATCATAAACTTCTATTAAAATGCTTAAAGAGGTTATGTTTTTTTATGTTTGGAAGTCCTAGATATCTTATGGCTGATTGTGGTTCATATATTATTCATGATACTGTTATAATAGGTCTTGCTAAGTATCAGTAAACCGTAGAGTAGCATCACCATATCATACCAGTCTAGTGGAAAGATTGACTTACCTAATAGAGAAATCAAATTAATTTTGCAAAAGACTGTCAATAGGTCGATGAAGGATTGATGTAAGAAACTTGATGATGCACTTTAGGCTTATAGAACTGCTTATAAGAATCCCCTGGGCATGTCACCATATAAAATGGTTTATGGTAAAGCTTGACATTGACCTATTGAGTTAGAACATAAAGCTTATTGGGTTGTTAAGCAACTCAATTATGATTTTAAACTTGCTAATGAAAAGAGGTTGCTTGACATGAGCGCTTTAGATGGATGGAGGAATGAAGCCTATGAGAATGGTAATATGTTTTAAAAAGTTAGAATGTATCATGGTAGGGGAATTTAGAAAGGTGAATTTAAGATTGGTGCTAAAGTTCTCTTGTACAAGTCTTATTTTAGATATTTTGCAGGTAAGCTTCTTTCCAAATGGGAGGGCCGTTAATCGTCAAAGATGTTTACCCGTTTGGACCTATCAAGATCAACAACGACGAGGGGACCAAACTGAGAGTTGTAAATGGTCAAAGACTTAATCATTATATTGCCGATAACCCCCTCGAGGCGAAAGCCGATGCTATACAGGTAATAACATCGGGAGACTTCATAAAAAAAATTCTGGAATGCTTCAAAAATCCCATGTCCTCGAGAATGCCTTGAGCCCTATAAGTAAAACCGTTGGTTTGTCCTTAGTATAATTAATGATTGAGCCACTTGTTGCACCGTTGCACTTTTGTTAATATTTACTTTCTTGCGATTACTTGCTTTCAAACAAACCATCAGACAATTTTTGCATCTTTTATAGTGAACTCTTGCTAGTTTTTGTTAACCAATTCCTTCTACTCCTAGCTGGGTTCAACACTCGTATTGAAAAAGCAGTGATAGATTCCGTATACTTGTGGGTTATCAGGAAGACGGGCCATGGTTAGTTTTTATTTATCAAAGGAACCCACAGGCCCCCATTTTCATTTAAGAAAATAGTCTTCTACTAGGAAGAAGCATCTTCTTCCATACACCCCAAGACATACAACCAGCCTACACCATAGGTGCTGACATAACTAGGGGAGATACAGACCCTCTCTCACACTCAGCAACTACAAACCTACAGAAGCATAACCACACGTTGTTGAATTCAACTCAAAGTAGAGACTTTATATTACGAGGAGAAAACTGTGAAATAATGTTTTTTTAGAAAAGGAGGAATACCCGGCCTCTGCATCTGGACGATGCATACGGTCAATTTATTAATTATTAACACAAAACCTTACAAAGTCGTACAACAGTTAAACCAAAGCCACCATCTCAGCAACCTCTGTCGCTACTCCTATCTAACTGATGAAGGGGCGCTGATGGTCTAGGCCTAATACCAAACAGACCTCGCAGCCAAACCTAACATCTAAGATCTGAGGTCCCAACCAGGACGCCTGCCGGGTATGGGCACCCACCAGTCCGGTGTGCTCCTCAACCAGGACGCCTGCCGGGTATGAGACCGCCGTAGCCACCTGCCACATATCCATCTTCAGAGCTGTACTGTTGCATCCGCCTTGCCCGGTCTCGCTGCCGCTGACGCCACCACGACGCCAGACAGCGTCGACCTCCTGCGCGTGTCCGTCACCACACATTTGACGCCAAGCCGTCGCCAAGAATATATAGAAAGAAACACCACTCCACCGAAAGGGAGGCAGCACACCCCCACCCCTCACCTGCAGACCCTCCCATCTGATCCCAATGTCCTTGGCGCCGCCTCCAGGAAGGTTACGGTGCACGGGGCGCCGCCGACGCCCGATCCGCATCGGATCTTGGGCTTTCACCCGGACATGGGTCGGAGTGGAGAGATAGTGCCCTCAGCAGCGCCCCCAAGGAGGAAAGCGGCGCCAAAAGGCGGCGTCGCCGCTGCCGGCCAACCAAGGCGGCCAAGGTTTCCCTCGGACACCGATCTGCTCCACCAGAATACACCAGAGGTGGATCCGGCAAGATCCAAACCGAACCGGGGACTGAGAAGGGATGCATGGAAGGGAGGGGGAAATACCTCCATATTTGGCACGCCTGCAGCTCACCGTCCTCACGGCCGAACCCTCAGGCACGCCGCACGCCATGCCAGCAGGGGCCGCCGCCCCTGGATCCGATGGCCTCCGCGAAGGAGCGCCGAAGACCCCGCCGCCACCTTCCCCGGCGCCCGCGCGGGCTTTCCCGGCGGTCGTCTCCGGTGAGGCGAGGGAAAACCCTAGACTCCCCCGAGTCGCCCTAGGGGAGACGCGAGGGACGGGACGAGGGACGAGGGACAGGACGGCGGTCGTCCTAGACGGGTTGCTGGTGTTTGCTCAAATGACGTCACTAGCAGGCACACATATCCTCTTGACATAGGTCCCCAACTATGCCCTTTCCTGAAGACTTCACTCATCGGGCGAGGTTAGTTTGTACATTAGAGACATAAATAAAAGTCAAGGTTGTGGTAGAATAAAGCCCTCAATTGCAGGGCACGGCCTACTTTCTTCAGAGAGAAAATCATCACAATTAGAATTAGGTGACCCAATCCTTTACTAGTGAAATTAGACGGTGAAGAGAAAATCAAATAAATTTACAGTGTCGTTGGAGAATTACAACATATCATCGACATTCACTATCGACAAGCAACAACACTATGAAAGCAGCTAGCTCATCCTTGCACTTCGCAAGAAGGACCCAGTCCTGGTGATCTCTCGTAGTGGCTTGTTGGTAAACCGGATGAGGTTGTAAGCCCATGCACCAGCAACCGCGCCACTAACAGGACCGACGATATACACCCAGATGCCGGTGTAGCGGCCAGCGACCATCGCCGGACCGATGGTTCTTGCAGGGTTCATGGATGCTCCTGATATGGGCCTGCACATCACAGCCGTGTCCGCAAATTTTTTAATCTCTTAATATAGTAAAATGACAAAATTTAATCTGGGATATTTTACTAGGAAATTCATCGATCTCATGAAACACAATGGTAGACAACAACAAAATATAGAAAAATTTCAACCGCTTCTATATACACAAACTAATGCTTAGGTTGTTTCTCCGAATGTTGATATTATTAGTAGATTTGTCATGGAAACTGCTTCCATATCATTGTTTTAAAATATTTATAGCAAAAAAAAATGATTTTTACCTACTATCCAGTGTCAACGCTTATCTGATTTCAGAAAAGAAAAACTCTTATCACCATGTACTTTAATTTTATTCCTACACAGGGACGTAGCCAGGCCACAGACTTTACAGAAGCCATGGCCTGGGGTATGGCAGCAACTCCATTTGCTGACCGTAGCTACCATGGTTACTGTTCACTATTGTAGCTCGAAGTTGGCCTGGAGCATCAATAACTCCTGGCTAGGCAACCGTTCCGACGTATACTAGTTTTTCTAAGAAAAAACAATCTACATGGCACCCCCACTTGTTAGGTCATGTGGTAGCTAACCCGGCCAACACATGGATCCCACGCCACGCAAATATTTAAAAATAATCACATGAATTATCTTAAATAAAAGACACATACCTCCATTGTTTTCAAATTAATTTTACTTTGTTCACAAAATTTATAGGTAATAATTCAAATTGTGCACTCTATGATTTTCTAATTCTAGATTGTAATTTATGATCATGTAATGCAACTTAAAGATCCTTTAATCGTACTTCCACATTGCAATTTCGAATAGTTTCAGTGTTGTTTGACCTAATAAAATCCAGTTTTTCGTACGCACTCATATGAACAGTAAGTGGTATGTAAACCGCGTTGATTGTGTAAAAAAAACTCGCTAAAATTTTACCACACCAATGTACAGATAACAGACGTACAATAGCAGGCTAACCTACTCTGCGGCAATTATCTAGTTTTACGTCACATTGAGATTCCAAATAGTTTCAGTGTTGTTTGACATGGCATCTGAGTTGTCCGCCACATGGACATGCCATCTGGGACGCCATGCTGCTTTGTGGTGGAGTTTTTGAAACGGGTAAGGGTATGTACAATCGTTGATAAGATAGTCTTATTTTAAGTCTTGCATGCAATTAGAGATGACAAAAAAATGTCTACAATGGGTCATCTCTTAACCTTATCTTTAATAACTAGCTATTTCTAAAATCACGATGAGACATATTGTGCTAAGAGATCAAAAGAAGGCAAGCATTTTCTTATGATTTCTTTCTACTTCATCTCATTATATATCCTACGTGGCACTTTTAAGATAGCACAATTGTACATGCCCTAAACCATGACCATGCAACAAATCGCAAGTTTGTTGTCCAAATACTCCGGAGGGAGTAGTATTCTGTGGTAAATCAGTTACCTGTTCACACTACGAGATAACTAAGTCTAAAAGCGTCATGTGTAAGAAAGGAACCCATCAACACGTTTCAATCAAAAGACGGCTTTGTTGACAACCAAAGTCCAAAATGGCGAGTAAAATAGAGTTAATGTAGCAGTTATCTTGGAATACCCGGCAAAGAGCACGTTTAGTAGCACAGTAGCTCCAACGGCCAGACCGGCGAGCTCACCAATCTGCAAGAGAGGGAGAAAATGGTCGGAAACAATTAGTTGAGTAGATGGGAAATACCCCTTGTTTCCTGGGTATATATACACCTAGAAATTAGAATTTTTTTTTACAGAAAAGTCAAAAAAGTGTAGAAGTTTTTTTTAGAATAAACTTGACGTTCTTTTGCACCAATATGTAAATTTCCGCCAACCAAAACCTAACGTTGACTTCAGGGGGAAAACAATTTTTTTGGTCAAATTGGTGTATATAGTGTCTTGTATATAGCAGTAAAAAAAATTTGCCCAGTAGTCAACGCTGGGTTTTGGTTGATGAAAAATTACATACTGGTGTAAAAGAGATTCAAGTTTATTTAAAAAATACTTCTGAACTTTTTTACTTTCCTTGTAAAAAAAATTCTCAATTCCTGAGTGTTTTTTTTTTGACAACTCAATTCCTGAGTGTATATACACCTAGGACCCAACGTCCACGCTCTTGAGTAGATAGCGATGTTTCCGTATCTTTTATTATTGACTGTAAATTTTTGTTGATAGCTTACCAAGCTGATCATTTGATGTGTCCGTATCTTTAAGCTCGGTAATTTCGGCACCATCTTCAGTAGCCTGAGGTGTGTGGTGGTGTGAATGTGTGCGTGTGTGCGGCTGCGTTATAACCGGTCTTTTTCAAAAATTAGTTAAGTGTAGAAAACTAAATTAATGGCTAAGACAAGGATTGTGATCTCACAGTACTCCTCCAGTTTACTTACGGCTCTGTTGTCGGTGGCAACTCCGGAGATGACGAACATGAGGTAGAAGGTGATGATGAACTCCAGCACCAGCGACTGGACGTCCGACCCGGACGGCACGGTCCCGAAGAAGTGCTCCGGCTCGCTCCCGAACAGCAGCCGCAGCGTGAGGCTCGCCGCCGTGGACCCGGTCACCTGCGCCGCCGCGTAGGCCGGGACCTGAATCCAGGGGAAGCGGCCGCAGGTGGCGAAGGCGAGCGTGACGGCGGGGTTGAGGTGCGCCCCGGAGATGTGGCCGACGGAGTAGACCATGACCATGACGGCCAGGCCCCAGGTGATGCAGACGCCCGGGAACGTCACCGTGCCGGCCGTCCTCTGGTTCACGGCCACCGCCGCGCAGCCGGCGAAGATGAGGAGGTAGGTCCCCATGATCTCGGCGAGGACCTGCGCCCATGGTCCAAGAATGTCGCGGTCAGGTCAATCGCTTGCTTGCTTGCTTGCTTGTCCAAGTTGCCCAGAGACTCGTAATGATGGGATAGCTACTGCTGGTGGTGTTATGACTTATGACCCAATTGCTTGCAAGTATAATGCGAAGACTGAGCACAACCGGCCAGCAGGCGACATTTTCAAAGGCAAAGAAATACTCATTTGGAATTTTCCTCTAGCCGAAACAATATAGTATTGTTGCGTTTGGATTGTTATCGGCTCATCACGTGTACCTTGCAGACGAAAATTGTCATCTTTGTCCACTTGTTTGACTCTTCTATCCAGTGTTTGAACTCTGCCCTGTTTCTCTCCTACCTGAACTACGGCCTCCACGGGTGGGTGTGAACAAGTGCAACTACCTTGTGCTGGATGGATAATCATCAATCATGCATGCCCGAATCACGTAAGGATTCTCAGGCACGAAACAAGAATAAAACTTCGTGGATGAAGGATAATCTAGTAGTAGTTGCGTATGCAAACTTACACACCTTCTGCACGAATTGGACGGAGATCATGGGCTGATTGGCCGTGCTGCTGAGAGCTTGCTCTGAATCCTCGCACCCTGCTGGTTGATTCGCTCCTCCTCTTCCTTCCTCCAGAGCTCCAGTGTGGTCTTGCTCTTGCGGTTGCAGGCCATTGGCTCCATGCTCTCCTCCTGCCATGCGCGCGCCGCCTTCCGCTATCCCCCTCCCTCCCTCACTCCCTCTCTCTGTTTAGCCGACTGTCTATCTGCTCTGCTTTGCTCTCTATCTCTATCTCTTGTTTGGATCTGCGTGCTGATCAGTACGCTTGTGCTATTTATGGGTTCCAGGCTTCAATGCTACAGCTAGATAGCGAGGTCCATGTGTCCTCCTAGCAAATGTTATCTTGTGATTTCTTGGGTTGACCACCGGATCACGAATCCTCCTAAAGTCCGGAAACGGTAGCTATGCATAGGAAGTTTCTTTGAAGACTGCCTATGGATTTATTTATTTTTAGCCTCACCAAAATACGCAAAAATTCCTCTAGTTGAGAACGTGAGGTCCTATTAGAATGTTACCTTGTGATCTTTTTGCACGAAAGATGCTTCCGTGCGTGAGGTTCGGGCCAAATTTCAGCTCGTTTATACATCTGAATAACTCTTGACAAAAAGATAAATTTGGGGGTCTATGAAATAGTCATGTACTGTTTGGACCTTTTTTTCGTGAGAGCAATTCGCATTCCAAACGAGCTGAAATTTTGTGTGTTAGCTTAGCACTTGATCATTTAGTTTGTTGCTATTGCTTTCTTCATGACTTATACATGTTCCTATCACTATGAGATTATGCAACTCCCGTTTACCGGAGGAACACTTTGTGTGCCACAAAATGTCACAACGTAACTAGGTGATTATAAAGATGCTCTACATGTGTCTCCGAAGGTACTTGTTGGGTTGGCGTATTTCAAGATTAGGATTTGTCACTCCGATTGTCGGAGAGGTATCTCTGGGTCCACTCGGTAATGCACATCACTATAAGCCTTGCAAGCATTGCAACTAATGAGTTAGTTGCGGGATGATGTATTACGAAACGAGTAAAGAGACTTGCCGGCAACGAGATTGAACTAGGTATTGAGATACCGACGATCGAATCTCGGGCAAGTAACATACTGATGACAAAGGGAACAACATATGTTGTTATGCGGTTTGACCGATAAAGATCTTCGTAGAATATGTAGGAGCCAATATGAGCATCCAGGTTCCGCTATTGGTCATTGACCGGAGACGTGTCTCGGTCATGTCTACATAGTTCTCGAACCCGTAGGGTCCGCACGCTTAAAGTTCGATGACAGATATATTATGAGTTTATGTGTTTTGATGTACCGAAGGTAGTTCGGAGTCCCGAATGAGATCGGGGACATGACGAGGAGTCTCTAAATGGTCGAGACGTAAAGATCGATATATTGGACAACTATATTTGGACATCGGAAAGGTTCCGAGTGATTCGGGTATTTATCGGAGTACCGGGGAGTTACGGGAATTCGCCGGGGAGTGTATGTGCCTTATTGGGCTTTAGGGGAAAGAGAGAGAGGCAGGCCGCGCGCGGCCCCAAGGCCTAGTCCGAATTGGACTATGGGGAAGGGCTGCGCCCCCTCCTTCCTTCTCTTCTCTTTTCCCTTTCCTTCTCTCCTACTCCTACTACTTGGAAGGGCTCCTAGTTCTACTAGGAAAGGGGAATCCTACTCCCGGTGGGAGTAGGACTCTCCTAGGGCGCGCCATAGAGAGGGCCGGCCCCTCCCCTCCTCCACTCCTTTATATACGTGGCCAGGGGGCACCCCATAGACACAACAATTGATCTCTTGATCTCTTAACCGTGTGCGGTGCCCTCCTCAACCATAATCCACCTCGATCATATCGTAGCGGTGCTTAGGCGAAGCCCTGCGTCGGTAGAACATCATCATCGTCACCACGCCGTCGTGCTGACGAAACTCTCCCTCAACACTCGGCTGGATCGGAGTTCGAGGGACGTCATCGAGTTGAACGTGTGCAGAACTCGGAGGTGTCATGCATTCGGTACTTGATCGGTCGGATCGTGAAGACGTACGACTACATCAACCGCGGTGTGCTAACGCTTCCGCTTTCGGTCTATGAGGGTACGTGGACACACTCTCCCCTCTCGTTGCTATGCATCACCATGATCTTGTGTGTGCATAGGAAATTTTTGAAATTACTACGTTCCGCAACAAGGGCATGCCACCCTGGCTTGTGGGACCCCTGTAGCTCTGTTTTCCCTAATTCCTGACCTATAAATTCTCACGTATTCAGAAACCCTTGAAGTGAGACACGAAATAATTTTATCGCCACTGCAAGCCTCTATTCCGAAGCGATCCCATCTGAAGCCATGTTCCCGGAGGGGGGAATCATTGGGGAGGCCATCTTCATAAACCTTGTTGCCTCCATGATGATGTGTGAGTAGTTCTTTCAGGACATATTGGTCCATAGTAGTAGCCAGATGGCTCTCTCTCTCTCCCCCTATATCTCTCTCTTGATCTTCAATACAACGATCTCTTCAGAGATCTATTCGATGTAATTCCCGTGACATGTTTGTTGGGATCCGATGAATTGCGGAATTATGATCATATTGTTCATTAATTTATATTGATTGTCTTGAAGTATTTCTATTTTGTATTTTTGTAGCTATGTATGATTTCCGATCCGTGAATCTTTTCTGACCAATTAGATGAGTAGGTTTTCAGAGGGAGTTGTGCATAGTAGTGGGTTCAATCTTGCGGCGACCTTTCTCTGTGACAGGAGGGGTGAAGGCACGTATTATATTGTTCCCACTAAGTGTAAAACGATGGGGTTTGGTCATATTGATTGATCTCTTTCTGTCTATATTATGCCATCTTTCTTATTGCGTTACTTTGTTTATTATGAAATTAATACTTTCGAATGCATGCTGGATAGCGGTCTTGGGGTGGAGTAATAGTAGTAGATGCAGTTGGACTAATGGTCTACTTATCACAGATGTAATGCCTATATGAGATTATGCCATGAATAACCATAGTTATAATTTGCATGTGCCTCACACAGTGAAACATATTCCATGCAAAAAAATTGTGAAACTTTTAGTATTTTTTACTGTTCACGGGAGGCAGATGAGCCGGGCTCAGAAATGAATATTTGTCTCTATATAGCAAAAAGGCAGAGTACCTCAATTCTTCGGCAACAAAGTAGAGAAAGTGTGACATAAAATTGTTCTTGGTCTAAGAGAACAGAGTACTGTGAGATGGTCTTTCCTCACTTCTTCTGTTTCTCTCGAATGAAGAAGCAAATCCAAATCTGAGTTAGTCTATTCCATAATATGGTTAAGTGTCTAATAAACCATATTAATATGCGAAATGCAGAATGCCGATAAAAACGGATCCGGAGGACTCGCGATCTAGCGCCACCAATGGATCCCTCCTCCACCA